GATAAAGGACATAGAGGGCAATTTAGGGGTGGATGAAGGATTTGAACAGGCAGTTATCTAGAGATGATATACAAATAGTCGACAAGCTCATGAAAAGATACTTCACATCATTAGTAATTAGGTAAATGCAACTCAAAGCCACCATGGGACACTATAGCTCATCTACTTGGATGGCTATAATTAAAAAGAGACAATGAGGCTGGTGACATGGATATGGGAAAAGAAACTTCACACATGACTGGTGGGAGTGCAAAATGAAGTGGCATTTTGCAAAAACAGTTCAACAGTTCCTCAGCAATGCTAAGCATAGAGTTTCCACACCTTCCGTGTCATGGCCTGAAAATGAAATGTCCCCATAGGCTCATACGTTAAAGCCTTAGGTCCCTAGTGGGTGGCACTATTTTGGGAGGTTCTAGGAACTTTAGGAGGCAGGTCTCAGCTGGAGAAGGAAGATCAGTGGGGGTGGACCCTATGGCTATCTTGTAACTGGACTTCTATTGTTGCCATTCTTTTAAAAATCTTTACTTATTATATTATAATAATATTATAATAATATACTATATTATATATATTTGGTTTTGCATGTGTGTATCTACATGGTGTGTGTTCCTTGTGTGCGGACGTATGTAGGGGTTCATGTGCACATATGTGTGCATGGACACATCAAAGCTTGAAGTTGACATTGTCTTCCTCAACCACTTTCCACTTCACTTATTGATTTGCTGAACCTGCAGCTCGCAAGTTCCAACCAGTCTGGACAGCCACTTGAGGCAGAGATTCCCCTGTCTCTTCTTCCAGGCACTGGGATTACAGGTGGCTACCATGCTTGTCTGTTTTTCATTTTGTTTTAACATTGGTTTTAGGAATCCAAACTCTAGTTCTCATATATACATGGCAAACACTTGACCAACTAAGTCACCTCCCCAGACTCTCTCCCTTCTCTCTGCTTTTTTCCTAGTATGCTGATGTTACTACCCGAGTATATAAGGCCAAGCAACCATGGGCCAAACCCTTTGAAAGTATGAATCACAACTGTAGGAGTATTCCCACTGGGCTAAGCTGATCTGGCTCTAGAGTACTATACCTAGCCCTAATCCATCTTTTTGTTTCTCAATTACCTATTGTTTCTCCTGTTGCCCTCTGTGTGAATCTTGTCTGAGAGTTTTCCAAGGGTAAAAAGCATATGCAAAACTTGTTTGGGAAAAGTCTGGCAAACTGTGATGTTCCTAATTGGGCATTTGTATTTGACATTTTCCCTTTGGAGACCATGGGCCATGTAAATCCACATCCCCGCTGCATACATGGATATATTCATACCAACAATAAAAGTAACAAACACAGCTCAGCAATAATGCACCTTGTTGTTGACCCAAGAGAAACAAAAACTTGAGCATGTGTACAAACACACACAATACCATCAACAACAACAATTGCACACCAGTGACCATGGCAATATTGTTCATGATAGTTTAAAAGTGAGATGCACAAGGCTGGAGAGATGGCTCAGTGGTTAAGAGCACTGGCTGCTTGATCTTCCAGAGGTCCTCAGTTCAATTCCCTGCAACCACATGGTAGCTCACAATCATCTAGTAGGATCTGATATCCTCTTCTGGTGTGTAGGCCTATATTCAGATAGAGCACTCATATACAAAAAACAAATAAAACCTTTTTTTAAAAATAGTGTGTTGTACCTGTGCTACAGACCTTAGCTACTCAGGAAACTGATATAGGAGAGTTCTAAGTTCAAAGTCTGCCTGGGATACAAGGTGAATTCAAGATCAGCTTGAAATAGAAGAAAGGAGGTTTTTTTTTTTTGAAATTTCAGTTAGTTCTTTATTTACCCTGAAATTCTGGAGATATAGTTCAGTGATAGAACACTTGCCTGGCTTGTTTAAGACTCTAGGTTCAATCTTCAGTATTGTACAAAAAAAAAAGTAGAACAATTCAAACTTTCATCAACTGATTCAAAGATAATAAACAAAATATCATATTCAAGAAGTAGAATGTTGTCCAAATTAAAAAATAATAGGCAAGGAAACATTCTACAACATGGATACACCTTGAAGGCATCATGCTAAATGAAAGAAGCCAATCATCATATGCCATGTACTGCACCATTCCATTTGTATGAAATGTCCAGAGGAGGGAAATGCTGAGATCTGGAAGGCACATTGATGGCTGCCTATGGCTAAAATGTACAATGTTTCTTTGCAGGGGATATCTAACAAGAATATTGTTAAAGTAGACTGAATATATAAATATATGTAAATACATGCAAATACACTAAAATCCATCAAGTTGCACACTTTAAGTGGGTGAACTTTCTGCTATGTAAATTATATCTTAATTGTATTTTAAAAAGACTAAAAGAGGTGAGAAAGATTGGAGGCAGCAAGTATAGAGAGGTCTGAGGAATTCCTTGAGCCCCTAAAGGTTTATCAGAAAATTAGTAGTATGCAGTTACAGTACTGTAGTCAAGAAGGAGGTTTCTCAGATGAGGTACAGACAAGAAGAGCTCCTGGGGTCACCTCTCTGTAAGTGGAATGTCTCCCCAGTTCCTTGGCTTTATCCCACCATCCCCTCCCCCCATGAGCAATCAATCAGCCGCAGCCCCTGAAAGACAAGGATCTGCCACTTGCTTAAGTTTACAGATCATTCCTGCTTATTACTTTCTTTCCCTTTTCTGTTTGCATTGTTGCTAGGTACAGTGGGAAATAACAAACCTCTAGTCTTCTTATTAAAGAAATAAAGGCTGGTAGGACTGTTCCAGACCCTCTGAACATGGATGTCAGCTTGGAGGTCTGGTTAATCTATGGCGCCTCTGGAAGTGGATCAGCATTTATCCCTAGTACACGAGTGGACTTTGGGAGCCCACTCCACATAGAGGGATACTCTCTTAGCCTAGACACAGGGGGAAGAGGCTAGGACCTGCTCCAAATGATATGACAGACTTTGAAGATCCCCCATGGAAGGCTTCACCCTCCCTGGGGAGCAGAAAGGGGATGGGATAAGGGGTGGGTGGGGAGTAGGGGAGGAAGGGAGGGAGAAGGAACTGGGATTGACATGTAAAAGAAGGTTGTTTCTAATTTAAATTTAAAAAAGGGGGGGGGGGAATAAAGGCAGGTGTCTATGATGTAGGTTAGACCACCAAGCCCCAGGGGAAGCCAACTGAGCAGGGGGGCATCTAGTGGCATTTCTGTAGATGGGGCAGAAATGGGTAAATAAGCCTACCATAGAAGACTGAAACTCAGAACGCCCTCCTCAGGCCAAGGTCAGGCGCTGGTGGACACTGCCAGGAAGCTGACCTGTTATCGCTGGCCCCTTGAAGACAAGCACACGTGCTTCTCAAACATTCTCTGCTAATTCCACCTGCCTAGTGATCCAAACTCTGCCGACAAGTGTGGTTCCTGAGTGCCATCTGACCAAGCTCTCAGGAAACGGGAACCACACAGTGTCCCCTGGCCTTCAGAGACAGACTGTGATCCATGGAGAGAGGTCTCCTTGGCCCACCTGGGGGGCAGAGGATGCTGTGAGACCAAAGTCCCCAGTTCCTTTCATAAGGGGCTGGAAACTCCTGGCTTCGCCTTCCTCTTGAAATGAGGCATTTGAGAGTCCTGGAAAAGTACAAGCCAGAATCACAAGCCACGGTGAAGGAGGTGCCAAGGAGCTCATCTGATAGCGTCCCAGCTCCTGAGCAGACTTTCCTCCCGCTTTGCCTTGGTGTGAGCACAGTGGAGCACAGCTCGGGCTCCAGCTATGTTCTGGCCAGATCGCGCTTCCTGCTACTCATATTTGTGCTGGGATAGGGATGACAGAAGGAAGGGGCTGCAGGTGTTAGGTGCAGGCTCCTTTTCATCCTCTGAAAACAGTTTCAGCTCCTCCTCCGGCCTCCCAGGTCTCCAGAGCACTATTGTGTCCTTTCCCCCTGAGCTTTCCTTCCCGCCCAGACTCATCCTTTAATGTCACTGGTCCTCTCACCTCTGCACGTGGAGCCCCGTGCTCGCCCTCTGTGGCTCTACCACCACACACCAGAACTTGGGCCACCAGGCTTCCCTGTCTTTGTCTTCTGCCTCCAGCTTCTCAGACTGGTGTAGCTTGTCACACACGCCTCAAGAGGACAGGAGGCCTACCTCACCCAGGCAGAACATACCTGATTGTCCGGCCGTGTTCTTGTAGGGTTGGGTTTCAAGGCCCATCTTTATTCTTATCTTTCCTCTCCTGGAAAGTACATCAGTCAGTACGTCTTCACTCACCCCAGCCTCTCACCATGGAGGCTAAAAGGGAATTTGAGGTCTGTTGACAGCTCAGGCTCTGCCACTGATGAGCTGTGAGACTTCAAAGAAGTGTCTTGATTTCTCTGAGAACCCGTTTCCTCCTCCACAGTTCGTCACAATAGTAAGTGAAATGCTGTCATAAAATACCATGGAAAAATAACATTCTTCGTGTTTTCAATACATGCCTTCCACATCAAAAGTCATCATCCATCCATCCATCCATCCATCCACCCATCCATCCATTCATGGTGTACTTAGTGAGTTTCATGCCAGGTTCTGGGGTATGACCATGTCTTCTCAGAGGAAAGCCACTTAGCCAGGAGGAACAGAGAGAAGAGCTGAGGCCTGCCTCCACAGCACACGCAGAAGCAAACACACCCTGAACTCTGGAGGCTGCCCCTGGGGATGGTGACAGTGAGCCCATCTTTCCTCCTCGTTAAATATCATAGAACTCTACGCTAAGGTGTGCAGCACACGGAGGCAGGCATGTGACAGAGGGGAAGTGAGGGGGCCCTGGGGGAGGGGGCGGGAACCCTGTTCTCCCTGCTTCTTGGTTACAGAGGGGGTTCATGCCTTGGCTGCACAGGAGGGCGATGTCCTTCAGGGAGGCCTTGTTGAATCTGTCTGGGACTGTTCCGGAAGGAGGAAGGGCGGGAGGGGTGGGGAGACAGCTGGAATGTTCTGGCCTGCTGTTCAGTGCAGCCAGCCTGGGAGAGAGGAGGGCCTCTGGACATCAAAGGTTCCTTTTGTCCCTTTCCGAGTGGCAGGGCAGCCGGGCCACTGGCTATGACTCAGGCCTGGCCCTGACGTCACCCACGCTCTGCCACTGGCCTCGGTTTGCAGCCAGGAACCTGACCAGGGAGTGGTTCTCATAGCTGCAGCAAATATCAAAACGGGGCGGCCAGTGCTGTGCGCTCTCCATTTCCCCACGGTCCACCTTAAGTTTCCTTCTTTCTTCTTCGTCTTTAAGCCTTCAGGAAGGCTCTACTTGTGAATCAGCTTTCCGAATGTAAGCACTCAGAATGAGTGACATCATGAGCAAATTATGTGGCGCAGATCTCAACCAGGAGTTGAGGAATCCAGAGGAAGAATGCAGTGGTGACTCCTGAGCCCAGGGAGTTGGCATCGTGTGGGCTTCAGAGGAGCCAGCACCTCCATGTAAGTGAAGGCCCCTCAGCCCCTCAGCCCCTCAGTCAAGGCCCAACACTGTGGGCGCCATCTTGCTCCTAAGAGGTAGGCCTGGCAGGCCCTGGCCCAGAGGGGGGGAGCGGGGACGGCCTTTGAGACAACCCTCTAAATACAGACCCAAATGGCCTGCTCTCTCTTCCCCATGGGACCAAACAAGAACGTATAAAGAGACTCAGGCTGAAACCCTGGGGAGAACGACCTACTGGATTCAGGGTTCTTGTTTTCTGCACCCACCTGAGCTGTTTCAAGAAGGCCAAAGTATTTGTTTGGGGTTCTGGACAGTTTGCTTCCTGGATCTTCTATGGGGTGATCAGACCGAAAGCAAGCCCCATTCTAGGCAAACATATGCTGCCAGTCAAACAGTATTTTCACACTTGACCGGGGAGGGGGGGAGGGGTGGGGGCATTAATGGCAATCCTGGTAAGAAAGGGTCTGCAGCCAGCCTGCCTTGAGAGCATGTTCCCTGATCTGGCTGAAGCACCTTCGTTATCTCTTTGCTGTCTGGCCTGTTTATAGTTTTTCATTTCTACTTACGTTGCCGCTGGGATGTTAAGCAGAGGCGAAACATAGTTCATCTGCTTTAATTTCATCTGAAAACTCCTGGGTCTTTGCATAACCTGTCGTTTACGAGTTCTGGAAGTTTCTACTCAAGAAATTTCAGTTTCTGTGAAAAACATTTTGCATGTGCGTGAGAGTCACAGAGCAGACAGGCATAGAGCCATATCGAGGTTCTTCTGGCTTCTCAGTCACCTCCTGAGTGAGCATCTCTTCCCTGTGCATTTTCCTCAGCACGTTAAGGCTGTTCTTCATATACCAAAGTGGTTGTGTGTATTTTAGAAAATGACCCTTACTCTAAGGCAGTGCAGAAGTTGGTCATTTAGTGAGAAGCACAAATTCCTTTGTGAACTAACACCCTTTTTGAGGTTAACTATCACACTTTAATATATGTTTTGTAGGTCTTGTGTCTTACTGTTTAAATATAATTTTACAGATCAGGCTGTCTTGAATCGAGGCTATGCCAGCCTGTTGTTCCTCTGGCAGAAAGATCTGAGTGCTGTGACAAATACTTCGGTAAGTGTCATTTGTCCCTGATGAGTCCCTACTCTGAAGTCTCTAATTCTACTTCTTTTGGTTTTTAGGATAATAAAGAAAAGGGTACAGGCCACAGATGCTTCTGCTGTACACAACAGCTGTGTCAAAGGGGATAGGTGTCAAGACAGGCTATTTGCTATCATAGACCCTAAATATAGATGGCCTCAAACACAATGGAGTTTACTTCTTGATTATGTGACAGTGCAGGTTTGTTGGGGTTAACTCTCTTTCATTTAGTCATTCGGATTCAAGACTAGAGGTGTAGTTCAGTGGGAGACTCCTTTCCCAAAGTGCCCGAGTCCCTTGGTTTGATGCCCAACGAACACTAACAAAAACAAAAAATTCAAAGTTCGAATGAGACTCTGCTGTTTGCAGCAGGTGGGTTTCAAAGTCACCAGGGCGAATCTTTGCTCCACAGTAGAAGAAGCAAAGAATCGGAAGAGTGGATGTGGGGGGTTCTTATGAGCTGAAGGGGTGCACATCACCTTCCTTTACATTCCATTGGCTAAAGCCCAGGCACATGGCTATAGCTAACTATAGAGCAGCCACTTCCCAGAGACATCTGTGGAGTTTCTGGAGAAAGGTAATTCTCTTCCGCATTGAATGTAAAAACTTGGAAACACTCAAATACAAGGCTGTAGAGTAGAACATTACGGGTGGGTGGATTAGAAATGGGCGGGAGAGATATTTCAATTGTTCCCCTTGAAAAGGACCCAGGTTCAGTTCCTAGCACACACAGGGGATTACAATTATCTGTAATTATCCAGTTCCAGAGGATCCAATGCCTTCTTCTGGCCTCCTTGGGCACCAGGAGGTGCACAAACATACAGGCAAATAAGTAGTAAGTATAGACACATAAAATAAAAATAAATCTTAGAAAAGCATATCAGAATGCCAAGCACATAGGGTGCACATCTGTAAGCCTAGGCAGGAGGCGGAGGAAAAAGGGTTGCTACTGAGTTCAAGGCCAACTGGTCTACATAATGAGTTCCAGGTCAACCGGAGCTACATAGCAAGACAGTATCCCACAACAACAGCAAAACTTAGGAGCTATGTAGAGGTCTCTATTGGATGCCCCCAGGTTTTTTCTGGCCATGAGGGCAAAGAATAGTGAGAGAGATTTCCCAAGATGCCTCTGGGCATTGTAATCCTATGATTTGAGGTAAACACATCCCTGTTGCCGGTGACCAGTGAAACAGGAAGGGTATTTCTCTCTTGTTTTTCCTCCCTCTAGTCTCTTGTTCTGGGTCTTTTCTGGATTTGTTCCTTTCATGTTCTTGATTCAAGCAAACTTGCTAGGATTTCTCTTGTTAGGATTCTGCACCCACAGCTATGAGCTGCAGTGATGTACAGGAACATCCTGGAGTCCCGAACTCTCGGTTCTGCCTGGTCCTGGGAACTTTGGGAGACTACCCCACCTGTACCAGGCCCTGTGATGCTTAACTAGTGAGTGGGGTTCTCTAAGAAGAGACCTTCAAGTAAGACTATTCAAAAATTATTTCAATATAGACTATAAAAGACTTGAGCAGGAACATTAATGCTAACCCCACAAAATATATTTAAAAAGTATACCCACCAGGTGGTAGTAGCACACACCTTTAATCCCAGCACTTGTGAGGCAGAGGCAGATGGATCTCTGTGAGTTCATGGTCTACAGAGTGGGTTCCAGGACAGCCAAGGCTACACAGAGAAACCCTGTCTTGAAATATATATATATTCCAGCTTCTTTTCAGGAAGAGCCTCTTTTACGGAAACAACAAGGGGCACAGGTATGAGCTCTATTTGGAGAGCCTTGTATCACTTTATGATTTATGTAGATTTTTAGCCATTGTTGGTCTTTGTAGAATTCTCTCCTCACTGGTAAATGTCAGGAAAGGGCTCCAGTAAAGTCCTGCCCGGGCTGCATGGTACATAGTCCTCTAGTTTCAAGGTCAATATCTGCCTAAGCATATTAAATGTTTCTACTGGACTTATGTCCCTCGCTCCCACATCCCCACCCTGAAGAGTGAGCATTGTCCATTGTGTAGGGAGATCAGTTACTGGCCAATTTGATAGCCTATTAGATTGCTGCTAGTTCCATCATGCTCTGGGGTTGTTGAGGACCAGGAGTGTCCACTGAGCATGCTGGGATGATGAGAGAGTTAAGAGTAAAATTCCTGAGTGTGGGAAGGCACTGCCACTGGTAGTGGATACCTGAAGGAGTAAGTTGAGACTAAGTACAAGTTTAACTCACAGAGGTATTCAGGAAACACAGAGCCAAAGGCCACAGCCAGGAGAGGGAGGGGTGTCATGGTCCACTCACTTCGGTGATGGGCTACCTTAGTTATGTTCTCAAACTGTGACAAATTGCCTGGAAGACTGACTAGAGGAGGACACAGTCATTTGTGCTCCTGGTTCCAGAGGATTCACCCGGTGGTTGTTTTGGGCTTGTGCTCCCCAGTGGCACACCGTGGCAGCCACAATACGTGGTGGAGGAGATTCGCACTGTTGACGGGAAGCAGAAAGAGACAGGGTACAATGTAGTTGTGAGGACACGCCCTCACTGACCTGCTTTTCCCAGCCAGGCTCCATCTGCTAAAGCTTCCAGAACCTCCCAGTGTTAGCAACAGCTAAGGTCCATGTGCGCAACCCATGAGTCCATGGGGGAACATTTCAGATTCAAATTCTAACGCTAATCACGTTTTGTTAATTTCAGCTACCATCTGATATGATCCCGTCAGCACATACAGCATACCAAATTGATACAGCACTGCTTTCTGACATTTCTAGCTACACTGTATGACAAGAAGAGGTGTGCAGCCACCAAATTTCACTACTATAAACATGCCGTGTCTGAAAGAAAGCCACAGAGTCTCATGGCCCCTTGACATTGTTAGGGTGGCAGGTGAGGTGACCTCAGAGACATCACCAGCTAGGCAGGATTGTGTGCAAGCACACGATTCATATTTTATTATTTGACATTTAAAAAATGGCATCAAAATAGTTCTCACGGGGGGAGGGGGAAGGCTTTCATAAGTTTGTCTCACTTTAATCTTGTATTTTATTATTTTTCCATTTTAATTATACATGAGTTGTGTAATGCACATTGGGGACACCGTGGTCTTTGCAGAGTTAGGTCACCTGACGATGTTTGCCTGACCTTGTTTTTTTCCACAATCAACACTGACAAGTTGAACACGGCTGCCTCACATGGGCGCCATCTGGGCCAGTTGGTTATTTGACCTGAGGGGTTTTGTAGTTCTCAAAGCACAGACGTGCTGGCTCCCTTCTTCCTGGTTCAACATTATGAATGCCCTATTACGCCTTTTAGAGAGTTTTGCAATGAGCTCACGTCATACTTACGAAAGCTAAGAATTCACAGTAATTGGGCTCTGTCATTTCTCACATTGAAATCCCCTAGTTCTCATCAAGAACCAATTTGGAAAACACCACACAAAAGACTTTGGGGTTTCGTTGTTAACTCAAAAAGCCTCTGGTTTTTACCAGAACTTTTAAGCGCCTTCTCACCTCCAAAGTAGTGTTTTGTTTTGTTTAAGCTATATCGTTGAGACCGTTAGAGTGAGTAAGGTTCCATGTGCAGAATGGTTTGGGCAACATAGGAACGTAGAAGCTAAGTCAGCTTGCTCCTGACAATTGCCACCACATGGTCAGTGTCGGTGTCTTTGTTTGGAGATTGCTAGGAAGTAGTGCTGCTTTGATAAAAAAAAAGGAAAGTTCTCTCTGAATCATCTCATATCTGCGCATCTGCGATCCTTAACAACCTGCCTAACCAAAACACATAGTACCACAACTTCAAAGCCACTTGATAAGGTCTGACTGTGGGCCAGAGGCCCATGAGGCTGCCAGCTTCACTACAGTCTTTGAGAGAACTGATTGAGTTCACTCTGTGCCGACAGATCATTCCTGGAATTCTACTGAGGGTCTCAGCACATTGAACAAGGCAGCTTGATGTCCACTCCATGGAAGTACTCTTAGTCACTTTTTTGTGGCTGTGATACAATGCTCTGACAAAAGCCACTTAAGGAAGAAGGGATTTCTTTTGCCTCACAGTCTGGGATAGGCCATTGTGGTAGGAGAGTCATGGCAGCAAGAGCTTGGCAGCTGGACACAGCACATCCACAAGCAGGAAGCATAGAGTAATGAATGTTCCTACTCAGCCAGCCTTCTCTGTTTCATGAAGTACAGGTTCCCCACTCAGGGAACGGTCCTGCCCACAAATGAAATGTGCCTTCCCCCAAGAATTAACCTAATCGAGATCAATTCTATCACAGATATTCTCAGGGGCTAACTTTTAAATAATCGTTTCTCACAGGTATACCTGGAGGCTCACATCCTAAGCTATTCTAGGGCCTGTCTAGTAGACAAATGACACTGACCATCCTAGACACACTGGTCTTGGGTTGTACTTCCTAAACTACATGCAATAGGGCAGTCAGTCTGTCTGCTGTAATTGGGGTCACCCTTCGGTCCAGGATCTCACATGCTATCATCCTGAATCACAGGAGGAAGGAAGTAGCCAGTGGAAAGGCCTTCCTCATGACTTAAGTTTGTGACATCAACCATGCCAAGGTGCCTTGAGAAAGAAATAGCTGAAGATTTCCCCAGGGACAGGCTGCATCCTCCATCTGCAGCTGGGCCACACTTGGCTGGACTTTCAACTTTATGACAACACTTCTCTTCCTTCTTCCATTCTATAGAAGACAAATTCCTTTTCAGTTTGTTGTTGCCTTACTTTTGGTATTTGTTGTTTTTTTTTTAACGCATAGGCATATTTTAAGTTAGCCGTTTGTAATTGGATATTTTGATTGCCTTTGGTACTCCACTGTTACAAATATGTAAACACTCTTGGTGGTAAATCCTTGTGGGCAATTTAAGGAAAATTCCCAGAAATTGAAGTGTGGAGTTGAAAGATCTGTTTTTAAAGTTACCAGTTGGTAAATCCTGTTCCAAAAAGCATCAGTTTCTATTTCAGAACCTGA